CAAAGTTTTTAATATAGTAATATTCAAAGTTATTGATATATTGTTATTCTAAAGTTTTTTATAATATTATTTCAAAGTTTTTAATATAATATTATTTTAAAGTTTTTATAATATTGTTTTAAAGTTTTTAATATACTATTATTCCAAAGTTATTATTATTATTTTTTTTTTTAAGGTACTAAGTGTATATTACTGCAAATGCTTTTATTGATAAGTATCTTATATCAATTACATTATAGCTAAGGACTTATACAAGTCAATATATTTGTATTCTATGCAGATTATCTCTGCACATCTCACCTTACTTCTAATATCCTGGTTTTTAAATTACCTGTAATAATTAACTATCCAAGATACTAGACTGGAACCTATGGGGTGTAAAAATCCTACTATCAATTTAAACTATCTAACCCATTGGTTCATCTTGTCTTTAAGAAGTCTTGATTAGGGAAATTGGTTCAGATGCCTCTGTCACCTTATCGCTTGGTCTTTAAATCACAACTTGTATCAATTCTGGGCTTACACAAGCCATGATCCTTGTTATCACTTGTGGCTAGTATCACCATTTAAGCTCTGCACTAGATTGAAATAGTCCAAGCTAGGGTTCCAACTATCATTGGAAAGTGTCATGCAGATTTGTTAAGATAAAGTACAGCCCAATCTATATATTCAAATGAGTAGGTGGTTCATTAACGAGAAGGGGAGGGGATTGGCAGACTGGAATTGATTAAAATGGAGTACAGCCAGTTTGTACATTCAAATATATGGTTGGTTCTATTATTCTAAAGTTTTTTATAATATTATTTTAAAGTTTTTTATAATATTATCTCAAAGTTTTTAATATAATAATATTTTGAAATATATAAAAAGTATGATTTAAGTATTAGTATAAGCTAGTTAAATACTGAAAAAGAATGATACCTCAAGATATAATTATTATAAAAAAATATATAATATATAAAATTATATTTTGGAATTATATATAAATAAATATTGAAAAAAATAATATCCTAAGATATAATTATTATAAAAAAATATATAATTATAAAATTATATTTTGGAGTATCAATAAATATAATAATAATTTGTTATTTTATTTTTAATTAATATTTGAGTATATTATACAAAGCTAGGATACAAATATTATTTTAATAGTATATGTTTTAAACTTGATTCTCATTAAGGAATTAACTAAAAAGTTAGAATATTATATATTTAATTCAGTTATAGCTCTTATATTGAATCTTCAAATAACAATATATAATTAAATGAATTTTTGTTATTATAACATTAATAATATTAGATATATATTTTTTTGTTAATATGATTCAATAATAAAAAAATTAATATAGTTATTTTTTTTTTTTTGCAAACAGGCATTAAATATAAGATATTTATTAAACTTTAGTTTATAGTCATTATATTAACAATCTTTACATATATAGTAAATAAGTTAATTATAGCCTATTGCAATTTTTTACCTAAATATTAACTTATATCTTATGGGTATATCCATAAAAATTAATATAGTTATTAAACTAGTAATATTATATTATATGTAACTTAATATACAAAATATATTATCTTGATATATATTGTAAAAAGCAAAATATATATTACTTGAATATGACTTAAAATACAAACCATATGCCATACTAATACATATTTTAATAGTTTTAATTGGCAATACAAAATATAATCTATATAATATTTAATATATAAACTATAAGTATTTCAAATCTGTATCACATCGCATCAATTTCAAAAAAAAATTGCCTTTTATAGTAATACAACAGGAAAGCGAATTTTTATTCCTTTATGGGTTCCCAAAGGAAGGATATTATCAGGAGCCAACCAAAGGAACAAGCCAAGCTCTTTGCCCAAGCTTCAACTGAATCAAAACCTGCAAACTTTACCTCTACCTTAACAGGGGAGACCACTCCAACACAAACACAAAAAGACATTTTCAACATGGATTTAGACAATAACAAAGAACAAAACAATGATACACCGACAACCATGGCATCCTCCAGCACCAATATTATCTCAGGTTTCGCCTCAGACAGTAAGGATGATAATGTTTGGATCCAGATAAACAGAAAAAACAAGGGCAGGGCAAAAGAAACAGAAGAATCCTTGAAGAACAACTAATTAACCACGGAAACCAAAGGCCGTACCTCATTTCCACCACCAGTCGACTGGAATGAAGAGTATGGAAGACAATGTTACAAGATACAAATACCTTTAGTCAATATACCAGGAGATACAACCCAAAGCAAAATTAACAATCTTAATCAAATTCTTTCTCACTTGGAATCCTTCAAAGGTATACGCACAACCATGTAGCATGATACCAAAATGGCAGTCGCAATGTTCGTCTCAGCAAATGACATGAAAAAAGCTACTAATGTTACAATGCATAATAATATGCAGATCACAATGGAACCCGCAGCCTTATTTAATCCAATTTTGGCAAAAGGAAAGACAATCAGGCGTGGGATATACCACTATATGCCACAAAAGTACAAATCACAGAAGCATTCACCAAACTTGAACAAATCAAAAATATTACACTAACCACCAATGGAATGTGGCAATCAGTCAATATAGAATTCACCAATCAAGAAGAGTATGACAATGCCATACAAAAATGGTCACATCCCTTTTTGACAGATTTAATTAGAATATTTTCATATCTGAACACCAATGAAATCAAAACACAACGTAACCAATACATCCTCAAATTGTGCAACCTTCCACCAGGAACAACAGGTTATGACCTAAAACATATTTTAGCAAACACCCATGCAAAAACATGTTACATCCCCCGTACAAAAAACTACTTGCACAAGAGATTCGCAGTAATCAGTTTTGAATCCATCGAACACAAATAAGTAGCAAAAGAGTATCAAGCCTTACAAAGCAACACAGAACTCACATGGTATGAAATGACAGACAAACTCTGTGCAGTATGTCTTAGTCCAGACCACATCACAAAAGATTGTAAAGAGTGAATAACAAGAGAGGAAAGATTCAAAATGAAACAAACCAACATCAAAAAATACCAACATCTATACAGTAGATACAAGCCAGCAGGCACATCCACAACACAAAAAAAATTTCTGAATAATACTAAACGCTTCCAACAAAAATCATTTGCTCAAGCAGTTAGAAACACATAACCACCCAACAATAACTCACAAGCAAATACGCAAATCCAGTTGCACATATCAATGGCCAAGACAAAAACACATCACTAAACATAATTCTCCAAGCAATTTTTAAACTTGGGAAAGAAATAAAAACAATCAAGTCAACACTTACAAACATGGATAACTAACTTAGTCATATTGAAGAAGATGCCTACTGGGTGCATACCATCCATAAAGAAGACGATGCAGAATTTATCGAATATGAAATGAACTGTAATACAACACCAGAGCCACAAATGTCAGTACCAGAAGATACCTTCTCAAGCTATTACAGAAAAAGACCAGTCACCAGCCCAATTCAAGACATTTGAGAGGAATAACAACAACTTCATTCAAGAATCACAGCAATGGGTGATACCTTATAACAAATCTTGACATCATTTGGCCTACTCGCTGAAGAAAGTATCCCACAATCACAAATGCAGTCAGAAGAACTAACAAACGACCCCAATCAAACATCCCAATAATAGTACAACCAAAGATTATTTAAAATAAGGAATCCTCAACTTTAGTCCCACGACAACAAATCAATATTAACAATAGTAACAAGATACCAATCCAATCCATAAACTCTTTAATAACAACACAACCATTAATAAGTTCATGGCACATCATCACAATCAATATTCGAGGCCTGAAATCTAACCCAAGCAAAAGCATACTCTGGCAAGAATGGATAGAACACAATAATGCAGATATAGTAGTACTCACAGAGACCAACATGACAAATCAAGAAGGACAATATTGGTTATGCCAAGATTATCAAACAATATGGAGTGGAGCAAGCTCACAGACCGGAGGTTTCAAAGTAGCCCTTATTATAAAAAAACATCTCAACAAACATGTCTATAGAAAACAAATTTGGCAAGATAGAATCATATCAGTGGATTTTTTTTTCAAATACAAACGCAAATTAAGAATAATAGCAGCATATATATCAGCAACCCCAGAAACATCACAAGATAAGTGCATCAAAGAAACAATTAGCTTAATTAATGCAACACAGAATGACCAAGCCCACATTATAGTTATGGGAGACTTTAATATGATTTATAACCCCAGCCTGGATGCACCAAACACACAAATCCCTAAAAAGAAACAATATACACCAATAGGAAAGCTTACACACTGACTAACATCACAACAGTTCATCGATACCTATAGATACAGGAACCCCTACAGTACACAAACCACATGGGCAAATACCAACCACAGCCATAGTAGAATTGATCAAATCTGGACATCTGTATCCCCACTCTGACTATTAACTGATGCATACATCAAATCAATAGATAAATATATAATAGATACAGACCACCATACAACCCAATGCCATATTCAAACATGGCAAACAAAAGACATAAATAAAACACACCGGCATAAACAACCCAACAATAGATACAGATGGAATGCAACATCACCTGAAGAATGGAACAAATTCGATAAAGATTTCAAAACATTCCTCTTAGAACGCTGGACCATACCAGATCATCAAAACTTACCAAATGACAAATGGAATCTTATCTGAGAAGCACTCTTCCAAGCAGTAGCCAAAAACATCAAAAAATATAGAAAATCTTGCCAAAAGCCAAAACCATCCAATCCACAAACAAAAATTTTCCACCGGTTAACCAAAATAAAAAAAACAATCCACCAGTACAACAAAGACTATATTCCCTACTCAACACTGGTATCAGTATCAAACAAAATAACAAACAAACTTAAAACAAAACACGATTTTCAACTGCCAATGATCCCCACATCTTAAGAAACAACAACAATCAATGTATGGCTGAAGGAAATAGAATCAATCGCTCACAACTTAAAAAAGATCTTCCAACAAACATGCCAATCGAAACAACTACAAGCCATCCAACAACGTATAATACAATGCCAAATATATTTTAGCAATAATAAAAAACAAATGATTAGAAACCTTTTGGATAATTCGACACGATATATTCATCTTGACAAAATTATTATACAAAAACCTAACATCAAAATCATTACAGACCCAGCAGAAATCCAACAAGCAGTAACAAAACATTACCAACAGTGGACAAGAAAACGAATCATAATACTAACGTCAGATACAATATGGAACTCAGTATACTTATCCATACCACAGATTCGATAAAACTGGTACAAGGATCTCCTTGTGAGGGTCTTTCAAAGTCCTCTCTGATAATTAGGTTTGTAAGGCTGAGGCGTAATAATTTGGTCCGAGTATCCTGCTCTTTCTCTAT